CCGATCGGACCGCTGGTTCACCGATTCGATTGTCGGCTTTTTCAAGCAATAAAATAATACATGTTGAGTAACATATGCGCTAATATAGTGTGAAACAATGGTCAAATAAAATTATTTCCATGTAGTAAACAACAAAGTGGCACATCCGAGTTGGTTATTGGGCCGTGGGCAGGCCCCGCGTACTGCTCACACGACATGGGATTGAATCTCACTTTCCCAATTTCTATTAAAACATTTTCCTGGTTTTTTGTGGTTCAATGGCCCGGTTTTTTCACCGGTTTTCCAGAAAACCAGCCGGTTCAACCGGTTTTCTCTAGTCTGATTGCAGAACGGTCTTATTAGCTTAGAAAGCCGCTGAGGCCGCCGGTTCCCTTTTTTCCGGTTCGACCGCCGGTTCTGTCCGGTTTTTTAAACTATGGCTAGAATACAAATAGTGAAGAATATCGTTGTGGCGAATGTATGGCTGGTCTACAGTAATGGGCCGTACATTTTTACCCAAAAGGAGAAAAACACCCTTCAGTGAAAAATGAGACATGCATGTAGTACGAGAGTTGACAGTACAAACCCAGCCCACCAAGAAAGCCCAGCCGCCGGAACATAGCCGTTCGCTGTAGAAGCTACGAGACAGGGTCAAAGGCTGGTCTCGCCGGCCCGCGCCTTCCTCCTCTACAACGCCAACCGTCATACCGAACCACCCGAGCGGCTTCCAGAACCGAGCGCGCCCCTCCCCGAACATTATCGAAAAATCGCAGCATCCCAAATAAAACCCCTCCCCATCAGTTCCATCGCGATTCCCAACTCGCAGCAAGCAATCAATCAAGCGATTTCTCTCAGATCTCGATTTCTCAGCTCCGATTTCGTGTTCGGGTTCCCGTTTTTCCCCCGTTCGAGAGCTTAAGGAGGAGGAGGAGAGGAGATGGAGGAGAGGGCCCGGCGATCGGCATCGACCTGGGCACCACCTACTCGTGCGTGGGCGTGTGGCAGCACGACCGGGTGGAGATCATCGCCAATGACCAGGGCAACCGCACCACGCCCTCCTACGTCAGCTTCACCGACACCGAGCGCCTCATCGGCGACGCCGCCAAGAACCAGGTCGCCATGAACCCCACCAACACCGTCTTCGGTACGTCCCCCTGCACCGCGCCTCTTCTAGGTTCTAGCTTACATACATCATCTCGTGTTCGTGCGCTCGGTTATGATTATGTCCGCGTATGCGTTTTTTATGTGATTTTGCTTTGATCCAATTCCTCGTTGGACGCTAGTAAATCAATTTGTTTGCTGGGCTTAACGAGTAGCAGAGATTGCTGGCATTGTCATATTCTGCATTGCCCTGTATTTGAGGAACTGACGAAAATATATGCAGTAATCTGGTCATAGTTAAAAGTCCCCTTAGTTCCAGTAAGATTCTGTTAAAAACTTTGCTGATTAAGATTTCTATATGTTGAAACCTGTTCATGTGAAGATAACTTGTTGGTTTGGCTGTTTCTGTTGAACTGTTTTCCAGCAAGATTTTTTTAAATTTCAGTTTCCTGTTTGGAACTTGTCATAGCTCTACTGTTGCTCTGCTTATTTGCTTTCTGTACCCCAAATAAGTTTGATTAACTTGAGCGCAAATCAAACAGTTTGACTCACAGTATTGTTATATCTCTACCGCAGATGCCAAGCGGTTGATCGGTAGGCGGTTCTCGGACCCGTCCGTGCAGAGCGACATGAAGCTGTGGCCATTCAAGGTCATCCCGGGCCCTGCTGACAAGCCCATGATCGTCGTCCAGTACAAGGGCGAGGAGAAGCAGTTCGCGGCCGAGGAGATCTCCTCGATGGTGCTCATCAAGATGAAGGAGATCGGCGAGGCCTACCTCGGCACCACCATCAAGAACGCCGTCGTCACGGTGCCGGCCTACTTCAACGACTCGCAGCGGCAGGCCACCAAGGACGCCGGGGTCATCGCCGGCCTCAACGTGATGCGCATCATCAACGAGCCCACTGCCGCCGCCATCGCCTACGGCCTGGACAAGAAGGCCAGCAGCTCCGGCGAGAAGAACGTGCTCATCTTCGACCTCGGCGGCGGCACCTTCGACGTGTCGCTGCTCACCATCGAGGAGGGCATCTTCGAGGTGAAGGCCACCGCCGGCGACACCCACCTGGGCGGTGAGGACTTCGACAACCGCATGGTGAACCACTTCGTCCAGGAGTTCAAGCGCAAGCACAAGAAGGACATGAGCGGCAACCCTCGCGCGCTGCGCCGGCTGCGCACGGCCTGCGAGCGCGCCAAGCGCACCCTGTCGTCCACCGCCCAGACCACCATCGAGATCGACTCCCTGTACGAGGGCGTGGACTTCTACTCGACCATCACCAGGGCCCGGTTCGAGGAGCTCAACATGGACCTGTTCCGCAAGTGCATGGAGCCCGTGGAGAAGTGCCTGCGCGACGCCAAGATGGACAAGAGCGCCGTGCACGACGTCGTGCTCGTCGGCGGCTCCACCCGCATCCCCAAGGTGCAGCAGCTGCTGCAGGACTTGTTCAACGGCAAGGAGCTGTGCAAGAGCATCAACCCGGACGAGGCCGTGGCGTACGGCGCCGCCGTGCAGGCCGCCATCCTCAGCGGCGAGGGCAACGAGAAGGTGCAGGACCTGCTCCTGCTGGACGTCACGCCGCTGTCCCTCGGCCTGGAGACCGCCGGCGGCGTGATGACGACGCTCATCCCGCGGAACACCACCATCCCGACCAAGAAGGAGCAGGTCTTCTCCACCTACTCGGACAACCAGCCGGGCGTGCTGATCCAGGTGTTCGAGGGCGAGCGCGCGCGGACCAAGGACAACAACCTGCTGGGCAAGTTCGAGCTGTCCGGCATCCCCCCCGGCGCCCCGCGGCGTGCCCCAGATCACCGTCTGCTTCGACATCGACGCCAACGGCATCCTCAACGTCTCCGCTGAGGACAAGACGGCCGGCGTGAAGAACAGGATCACCATCACCAACGACAAGGGGCGGCTGAGCAAGGAGGACATCGAGAAGATGGTGCAGGAGGCGGAGCGGTACAAGGCCGAGGACGAGGAGCTGAAGAAGAAGGTGGAGGCCAAGAACGCGCTGGAGAACTACGCCTACAACATGAGGAACACCGTCAGGGACGACAAGATCGCGTCCAAGCTCCCCGCCGACGACAAGAAGAGGATCGAGGAGGCGATCGACGGCGCCATCGGCTGGCTCGACGCCAACCAGCTGGCGGAGGCGGACGAGTTGGAGGACAAGATGAAGGAGCTGGAGGGCGTCTGCAACCCCATCATCGCCAAGATGTACCAGGGCGCTGGCCCGGACATGGGCGGCATGGATGAGGATGCGCCGGCCGGCGGAAGCGGTGCGGGGCCCAAGATCGAGGAGGTCGATTAAGCTGGTGGCGGTGGTGATTTTGGCAGCGGGAGTCTGAAGTCTGATGGATTGTGCCATCGTTTGCAGTCTCTGAATTCCCGACGCAGGTTTTTAGGTGTGGTTGATGCTCTTGGATGGATGTCAGTGTTGATGTAAATCCTGAAGTTTCGATCGATTTAAGTAGCCGGCGTTGTACCGGTGTTTGCTTGGATCATGTTATCTTTCTTTCTTTTATTTTTGCGAAATGAGTCACCGGCCGGCGGAAACGTAACACCAACTGCAGATGTGTGCAATCGCAAGCATTATCCTGTAAGTCTGGTCAAAGTGTCATGTGTTTGAAGCACTGGTTTTAGCAAATGTAAGTCTGGTCAAAGTGTCAAACCAATTTAGTTCCAGTAAGATCCTACTGAAAACTTTGCTGATTGAGATTTCTGTGGAAGTTTTACTGCTCATAACACACACACAAAAAAAAAGAGATTAGTAGATAGTGTTAAACCTTGGCTAGTTTGTTGATTAAAGCCGGAAGAATTGACAAGTGTGGCATAAAGAGATTAGTTTTTTTTTATTAAAGAAGGGGTTTACCCCCCAAGCATCCGTCCCTAGACAAACTATGAAAGAGTTTCAAGACAAACTATAAAAGAGTTTCAGCAAAAGAAACGAAATACCACGTGTAGGAAGGGGCATCTAGCGCCATCGCGCTCGAGAATAGTCTGCATTACGAACAGCTAAACTCTGCAGATCCTATCAATCTCCAAAAGACAAACTACCAGAGCAAGAAAGCAAAGCTAAGGGACAGCAGCTTGAGCAGGTAGCAGGGGCCTTTTTCACCCTTCCAGCGCATAAAGAGATTAGTAGATGGTGTGATGTGTTAAACCTTGGCTAGTTCAGTGTTTAAAGCCGGAAGAATTGACAAGTCCTATCCTGACTTTTTAAGAGGGCAGTATAACTTGCACTTTTTTATTTTATTTTGCAAAATAGCATAACTTGCAATTACAACATTCACCAAAAATCCTATCCTGACTCAACTTAAGCATGTTAATTACCCACTATCTTATTGTTATAGTCAATAAACATTCTAGTACAATATTAAAGCGGGATTGTGTAAATTATGTTCTACATATAAGTCGGATTGACAACATTGGACATTCTGATGAAACTTCATATGTGAGGGCAAACAGTTACCCAAATCCAACAGCAAATCATTAAGGTAGCAAAGCAGAGTACTAACACCAGAGGCAAGTATCAAGGCACTAGTAACATTATATAATATAAACTGTTAGATAGGTTGAAAGATTTATTTGCTCGTGGATTTGCTATCCTACATTAACCATTTTACATACTGAAATACAAGTGATACATGGAAAATTGAAACCAGTTGCATAATTCAAAGAAGTTATAAATAGCAGAGGTAATCAGCATTTACATGATTATGAGCGCAAATTGTTGAACAAAACGGTACATCACAACATAACATTATTCAAACATACGAAATATTCCGAAGAGAAAAATAGACTGACGACTACAATAAATCCTGAATCCCAAATCCCCGGGACGTCCATGAAAACATCTCACCGAAAAAGTTCTGTGTTTGATGCATCTTCAAGTCATGAGTGCTGGTAGTTGCATATGCTCCATTTCTAAAACTGGTTGCTTGTATATGTGGCCCAAACAAAAATGAATATTATGGGCCAAAATTCCATCAACATGCTGAAAAGGATTCTCGTTGTCACCATTACCAGTGTACGAGTTAGCCCAATTCGGGTACATAATGGTTGTGCCAGAAGAGCCCACTTTAACCAAAGGTCCATTTGTTTGCATATAACAGCAAGAGGGCTAATGACGCAGATAGCAATGGCGGACTTGTGAGCAACCCGTGCTAGCACCATGTACAAACCTAATGCAAAAGTTGCTAGGAAGCATGTGCCCGATGTTGACCCAAAATACAAGGCTGCGATCAAGTAAATTCTACGAGTCTGTGGGTTTAAAATAGAGTATCCAGAATACATGAGACCTATCATAGCCATCACAGACAAGACGAAGGAGAATGTGCTGGCTATTATGAATGCATCAAATGCATACCTCCCGGCAAGTGTTGGTGTTCCTCCATTAATATGTTCATCAGCTCTGTAACCTCCAGGAAGGGCAAAAGTAACAGTAAACGTCGCAGTTGCAACTAGAGCCACACCAATACATAGTGTTTGTGTTGGTTCTTTCAACTTTTCTAATTGTTCCGTTTCATCATATTTTAACTGACGAGTGTAGTTTTCTTCAAAGTGATCACGACGACTGCCACCACTCCTAGCATTAACAACTGTCAGTGCAAAGTGTATCTTCGCTTCACTGTTCTGAAAAAATGAAAAAGAAAAGAAGGTGAAGCCAAACCACACAAATCTCCATTATTTGCTTTCATATCAAACGTGGTGCTTAAAAGTACAATTTAGTACATTACCTGTTCATCAAAAAATCCTGGGGGAACCCCATATGGTGATATATCTAGAGGAGTTTGCCCCATATTATTTGATAAATTCAAATGTGTTTGTCGATTCCCTAACAAAGCACAAAACATTCGAAGACTCCGTGCCTGGATAGCTAGGTGTAGTGCAGTGTTCCCATCATTGTCTTGGATATTAAGAATCCATAAGAGTGATTGATTTCTGCAAGCAGAACTGACTATTCTAACTTTCCTTTTCTCAGCAGCTACATGAAGGAATGTCCTTCCCATACTGTCCTGCAAACCAGCACTGCTCGGAGACTTGTTAAGGAACATAGTTACTGTCCCACTTTCACCAACAGAGGCAGCAACGTGTATTGGAAATAATCCGTTGCAATCTGACTGATACAATGCAGCTGAGTTCGCTTCCAATACTTGCCAACATATACTTCCTCGCTGACTTTGCTGTGCCAGAGCTGCAGCAAAATGGAGAGGCGTACTCCCGTTTTCATCCCTTTGTATAGTGAGATCACTGTTCCATTCCAAGAGCTTTTTTGTAAGCTCTGCAAACAGGTATTTCTATTAAGTTCATCGAGGGGAGAAGACCAACTACTATGGAAATGACACACTCAATTATAATTGGCAAGCAAAATACAAATATCAAAAGTCTCAATAGTCTTTCAGAAGGCAATTTCATTGTGTGTATATCGTATCTTGTGCGCGATCCATGGGTACTTAAATTATAGTTTATACTACTATCACTACTCAACTACTCAACTAATTACATGTGTCCGCAGTTAATGTAAATCTACTCATAAATTCATATACTCATAAACTCATAAATCCGTACTATCACTACTCAACTACATGTGTCCGTACTTCCTTGTAAATCTACTCATAAACTCATATACTAATTACATGTGTCTGTAAAACTTACAGGTGTCCGTATTTCTGTTTAGTAGTTTATACTACGGAGTATATCCTAATTTATTTGTGGGAATGAAACAATACTACTATCATTACTCAACTACTCAACTAATTACATGTGTTCGTACTTCCTGTAAATCTCCTTCTGCTAACTGCACTAGCCAAAGTACTAAATTATAGTTTCACCTTTTCTGCAAACTGGTGCTGGTTTATCTGAGGAGTTAAATATAAGTCATGAGAAATGGATTGTATTATTTGAAAGGGAGGATTATAGAATACATTGGGAGCGGAACTATATTTGCAGCACAGGCTGCCTAGCAGAGGAACTTGAACTTACACTTGGGTAACTACATACTGCATTGTTCAGTAATTCTTACAAGGCCAGACTACTTCCCAACTAGCACAGCATACAAAAACATCGAGTAATAAGCCATTTACTCTTATCTACTATGAAGTTTGAGGCCCCTATCATCGTTCGTGAATTTTATTCATTAATTGAGAATTACTCACTGTTTCTCATGAAGAAATGATGTGCTGTACTCTTTCAGAGAGAATGTTATAAAAAAAGTTATGGCTAGGTGGAATGCACTAGTGAAAGTTTTCAAGTCATATAATGGTATAGAATACTTAAAGACCATTTTGAGCAGCATTTGTTATCTCAGGGGATTGTAGATCAAACTTTCCCATACACACTGGAACAGAACTGGTTAGCTGAAACTAAAAGGCATATGCTAGATGTTGCTCAATGCTTGATGCTTCAGATAAATTTAAAGAAATTTTACTGGGAAAAACTACACATGTACAAATCCAACTAGGAGGTATAAGATGCGAAACCATGCTGAAAAACATGGAAAATATGTGCAGAAAATTGTAGCTTAATCTAGATTTATTACATGGGACGGAATGATGTCTGGTACCTGTGCCTCGGAGAACCGCAGCATGCAGCGCATTCTGTCCATTTTTCCCAGAGTAGGAAAGTTTCATGTGACTCGCATTATAAAGTGTCTCAACAATGATGTCCTCTTCCAGCAAGATGGCCAGGTACAGAGGTGAAGTGCCGTCTTTCGGAAAACTGGCCAACTCCGAGTTTTCCTCCATTAGCAGCTTGACTATGTCATTATTTCCAATACGGACTGCTTGATGCAATGCTGTCTCCTTAAGGCTGTTTTCAATTTCTAGGAGTTCCTTCACTCTGTTAACACCTGTATTCTCGCCTCTGGCCAGAGTGATGAGATGACGGACCATTCGGGACATCCCGGCCCGTGCAGCGCAGTGCAGGGGCGTGTCACCATTCTTGTTACGCACAAACAGGAGATGGCTTGCCTTACTATGGATGATGTCAGCACTCCTCAAGAATCCATCACTCTCGCCATATGTGGCCACCACATGGAGTGCAGTGCCCCCTTCAATGGTGACCCCGTCCAGAAGTGACACGGTAGAACCTGAAGGCAGGTTCAGAAGTGCTTCAACATCATCAGAAGCTTTCTGCATCGATGCGCCTTTGTCGCCGCAGCTGTGGGAGCCATATGCCGTGAGAAGGTCATGAAATTTTGTACTAGAATTCATGGAAGGATGCGGCTGACCGTGTCCCCTGTTGAGAAGAAATTCCAAGTCTTGCCAGGCGCCAGAGCAAGCCGATGATAGCAGAAGGGGGCTCATGACCTCTGGGAGAGACTTCACCGTGGAAGCCTGGATGCTTGGGGCCATCACAACCAGCATTGTCTTCGAATCCTCCGTGCTCAGCAGATCCTTCAACTGCTGACAGTTGCCACGGCCTGCGGCCACCGTCAGTTTGGCATCCACCGACACTTGCACGGCATTTTCCTTCGTGTCGTCGGTGCTGCTCCTCGACGCCATCAGCACCACTGGGTGCAAGCTCTCTCTCTTCCACTTACTGCTCACAAGTTGGATGCGAGGTGTATGATGGCTGCCCTGCCCAGGTCGACACGGGAATACTCTTCACTAGTTCTACAGCTATGTAGAGAGTCGTCTCCCCCCAATGAGAAAAAGTCAGGCTTCTCCATTCCTAGCTTGTTTATCTTTAATTAGCCTGGTCCAAATCAATTAGTAGTTAATTCTGCAACTAGATGGGCTACTTAATTTAGTATCATCACATCACACAGTTGCTGCTACAATATGCTATATGCTCCAAACGAAGTATTCAGCCCTGTCGTTTCTTGGTGATTATATGGTGGATCTTTCGTTGCAACCATACGCACTAAAAGAAGGGAAGACAGCGAGATTGCAGATGCTAAGCAGTCAAAACAATTCAACAAAGTTGGGATTAGATGGGCTTCGAATCTGTAGAGAGCAAACAAAAGTTGAGACGGGACTTATCAGATTCGCTGCCAAGCGTACGAGTTCCCGGCAGGCGGCAGCCGTGCGGCGCGACAATGCCGGAGGCCGGCGACTTGCGACCGGCGGAGGAGCCGACGCCAGAGCGAGGCGAGATCCGCGCAGATGCGGCCGCATCTCCGCATGAGGCGTGAGGAGCGGCAGGGGGAAGACAGCGGCGGCAACCGGCGGAGAGTCGCCAACGTGGACCACCCCCTCGAAGTTTATTTGTCTCAAGTGAATAATTAGCTGCTCAAAAGTATGCCGAAGATGCAACGCTATTCCTGTCGCGAAACCATACTGAACTCTCCTTTGCTTTGTGTATGGCACTAGCACATACAGTAAATTTCATGTGTGGATGTGCTGTTACTTGTTTCTTGGACTTGGGGATGGGATTTAACGGAATGGTACACAGTTACAAGGATTGTGGGGGAAGGGATAAGTGGGGGATTAGTAGTGTTCGGGTGGGTGAACAATGCCTCGGGGGGTAAAACTTCCCTCTTATTTGAGGAAGCCGTTCAGTGCCTGACATGGCAACATCTTCAGAGTTAGTAATTGCTTGTATGATTGCCGTGTTTCCAGAGGAGCAGGAAAATGGAGGTGCTCGAGAAACAGGGAGCTGTGGCTTGGAATCTCAGCAGCGCAGAGCGGGAGCAGGTTCAGGCCCAGAAGGTACTGCAGAATGTAGCACTTTCGTGTGCTTCCAAATTCTTGGTCCCCATTGCTGAGCAGGCTTTTGCTCCTGTCTGTCTCCTGGTACCATGCTCAAGGTAGTACTACCTCCGTCTCGGTGAATAAGTCATTCGCGTAGTTCTAGATTAACGATTTAACTATCTAAATATATATTATATGTGATAAAAAATATATATTTAGAAACTACATCGTTGTAGAAATCTAGTGATATACTTTTCATGACATATAGCACATATTTAATTCCTCAAATCGATGACCTAAAACTACGCGAATGACTTATTCACCTAGACGGAGGTAGTATGAGATTTCCATCTGAACCTAAATCAGAACAGGCAAGTATAAGCAGCAGTTGTTAGGTGTAAGATTGGCTTGATGTTAATAATATCTACTGCCTTGAAACTTCACTCATTCCTTGTTTTCCAGGTATACCGGAGTAGATTTTGTTTCGAAACGGATATACCAGAGTAGATAGAGATCAGCAGTCCACAGTAGAAGACTCAGAGCTATTGGAGATAGTAGTAAGATGTAGTAAGACTCGGGGCTATTGGAGATCAGCACAAGACAGCCTATGTTGAGCATGAGAATTCAGTTTTAGAACCCAGAAAAGATTGATACTACTGCCAAATAGCTATAGAAAAGAGGCATAGAAAAACCAGGTGCTCACCGGCTTCCCGGATGCCAAATCTGTCACAGTTCGGAGGAGCTTTATTTTTCTGTTGTGAAAATCCAGTTTCAAGAGCAAGAGATTCAGTGAGAAGGAGCCAGATGGAAGTTTAATGCAAGGGATGATGTTTCTGTTTTTCAGAAACCAAAGTAATGCTGCTGCATCAACAATTCCAGTATAGTGTATGCTGATTGGGACATGAAAGATGATTGTGACTTGGATACAGACACGTACAGTTCATCACCATAAGCTGAAGCACTGAATCAATTTCTTGACAGCAAAGAACATTGGAAATTTGGGAAGAAGTACAGACTTGTGCTAACAGAAGAGCTACTAATCAAGATCCAAAAATTGAGCAGTAACCCACCAATTATAAATTTTATTCTGTTAACTGAACTTGGTACAGATTCAAGGACAAACAGGCCACCCACAATATGACGCTAGGAGAAGAGAACACGAGGGTTAAAAAGACACCCGTCACATACAAGCTAGAACCAACTAATCTTGAGCAAAAGCTTGTTGCTGAAGAGGCCTAGCACAGTAATCAACAGTAACAGTCCCGGAACAAGATGCTAACAGTAGCCCCTTCGAGCATACCCACGATCTGGTGATCACAGACAAGAAAGATAGGCCTTCCATTACCTATGTCATAAGCAGGTCGTTCACTCCCAGGTGAGGAGGGCGCATGGAGACCCTGACTTCATGTTCTTCCGGCTCGTTCCCCCGTTTGGGGACCATGATCTCAAGAACCGCAGCGGCCTCGTCAAAGCATGCCTCAAGCTTGGCGTCTTCGGGGATACGGGTGGCTAGAGGTATTTCGCGGATGAACTCCCCGGGAGGGCAGTGCTCCGGCATGGCGTCGGTGAGCTTGAAGACCCTGTCATGTCTCCTTATGTATGGCATCCGGGCCGTGCTAACACAGAAGATTTTAACTATGCCGTGAGTGGGGGTGTTCTTCCATGAAACCTTTACCCTCTGCTGATCGACAAATGGTAAGCTGACCATTATCAAGTAGCCCTGGTCATCCTCGTAAATGGACTTGGCAGCAGTTGCCGGCCCGGAGGCTTTCCTCATCACCCCGGTGAACTCGTGCATCCATGAAGGCTGCACTGCTGATTGCATGTCGACATCTTGTTGTGTCCTCCCGTTGCAAGGGTTCAGAGGCAGGAAGCACTCCTCATCCATGGCATGTGGGAATGCCTCCTTCCGGCGCTTGCTGCTCACAGGGGAGAGATCCATGCCGTCCTCTCCTGAATGATTGGATGGTGATGACAAATTCAAGCCAGATCCATTAAGCGTCTTCTTGGGGGGCTGCTGCTGAACATTATTAGTATTGCTCTTCATGGCAGTGTGTGTGTGTGGCCTCTCCAGCTCAAGCTCTGAGCTTGGCATGGTCCTCCATGTCCCAAAATCACTGGCCTCCTGTGGGATGGAGAAATTGAGCTCCCTCCCTGTGAGCTCCGCCCACCTCCTCCGGTCGACATCGGTGATGCCCACGAGATTCGGCGAGCTCACCACCTCGATCCCATGGATGCACTGCGGGTTGGAGAGCCCCCGGTAGTGCTTGCGCTGCATCCGGTGCGACCGGACAAATCCCCTGTCGACACTGAAAGGGAAATGCGGCTCACCGGGGCGTGAGTGCCCATTCATGTAGCTCCGCAGCTGCATCTTGCCGAGGGCGTTGTCCGGCCTCTCCTTGAACACCCACATGTACATGTTCTCCATGTCGTGCTGCACCAGGAACATGTCGAGCCGGAGGTCCGACTTGTCGAACCCCGACACGCCGTTGGCGTCCCGGACGACCTTGCTCTTGGCCTTGTCCGACAGCAGGGGCTTGAAGTAGAAGGTGAAGAAGAACCAGGCGCCCCAGATGCTGTCCCCGCGCTTGGTGGTCTTGCGGCTCCCGGCGGCGGCAGCCTTGGGCGCGGCGCTGAGCACGGCCTCGGCGTCGAACACCTGCGGGCCGAGGCCGACGCCGAGCATGTCGCAGGGCTCCGTCTGCCACGGCTGGTTGATGTCGGGCGGCGGGGCGCCGGAGAGGGACACGGCGTGGGCGTGGGGGCGGCCCCCTCCGGCGCGGGGCTGCACCATGACGCCGACGGCGCGGTCGTCGAGGTGGCCGGAGGGGTCCATGGAGAGCAGGGTGCAGAGGCCGTGGTGGCCCCCGCCGCCGCCGCCGTTCTCCATGGAGAGGGTGGTGACGAGGTCCTCCCCCATGGGCGCCCGGCTGGTGAGTGGCGAGTCGGGCGTCGGGGTGGTGGCAGGGTGGGTGCTAATGGCGGCCTCCTCCTCCTCCTGGTCCTCCGCTCCTCCCTCCTCCTCCCCGGCCGCTATCTAATCGGCGGCCTCCGGATCCCTCCGCATTCCAAGAAGGCGTCCCACAGCAGCCAGTCGTGCGACCACTCCATGTAACCCACCATCAGTTCCCCCGCGGGAACACGCCCACAAATCTGGACCAGCCTCCCCCTCCCCCTCACTCCTCCCCCAGCCAAATCCGGAGCCCCGGAGAATCTCCTAATAATAGGAAAAATCAAGGACTCATGGCGGACGCGGACGGACGACGGGTTACCCGACGGTCACCTCCATTGGGAAAGCTTGGCAATTTAGCGCGGGCGGGGCGGGGAGCAGGGGCGCGAGGACAGGGGCGGGGGTGGGGGTTGGGTGGGAGGTGGAAGAAAGGGAAGAGGTGGTTGTGGGGGGGCGGCCGCTTTTATTGGCCTCCGGGGCTCGGAAGCGGCCTCCACCGGATGCGGCTGGCCCTGAGACGGCGAGGCGGACGGTGCCGTCGTCTCCACGCCCACGCCGTTAGGGCACACGCCACCGCTGCGCTCACCTCCACGCGGACGTTTTTGCCTTCTGCTTCGAGGAAATTGGAAATGCTTTCGTGTAACAGTTTGTCTTCGTGTGATAACTTCATTTCCTTTCATTTGCTTGCGCCTTTTTTCCATGTTGTCTTTTGCTATTGATCTGTTGCCCGAAAAGTTGGTCGGCTCATGGCCTTTCTTCAGTGGCGTATTTGTTGCATTTCCAGTATGTTACGAAACCTTCCTAATGAGGGCTTGTCGTAGTTTTTTCTTTAGAATGTCGTCTGACGAACGTTCGTCAAGGACCTAATCGTGGCAAACGCCTCAAACGATCTGACGGGTGGCAGTTTTCTGCTCAAATCTCGTTGTGGTTAAACAAACTGCGACATCAGGGGTTCGCAAAATGCCACCCCTCTTCCTCTCCAACACACTAAAATGTCACCATGGGTTCTCAAAATGCCACCCAACACACTAAAATGTCATCAAGGGTTCGCAAATGCCGCCCTAGGTGGCGAACTTTCGCCAGCTAGCGGGGGCCTTTTTTATATCAAAAGGGGCAGCCCGAGGCATCCCCCGCGAGGCCGAGCGAGGCCGAGCGGGTAACGATGTGGCTGGTCGCGGCGTCGCCGATAGAGGGCAGTTTTAAGGGTTGATGCATGTGCGGCTAGGCCGCTAGTGTCAAACAAGAAGGGGGCTTTAGTGGGATGGTCAGGACCGCGGAGGACAAGAGAGAACGATTGACCAGGAAATGGCGGGCGCACGCCAAAGAGGCCTTGGAGAGGAGAAAGGCAATGGTATCAAACCGGGTGGCGCGAAATTGTTTTCTAGGCAACTCACATATAGTCAAGCCCTTTTCGTGTACTATTATTTCACAGTTTAGAAATATGAGCAGTACAAAAAGGGAATAAAATAATATTGTAGTTACAGAACAAGAAAAGGCTACGCACGACGAAGGTATCATGAGAAAAGCATTAGACTGAATGGATTCTATTTAGTTTAGCATAATATGATAATGGGTCAGAATTTAATATGAATTAGAAGAGGAGTTTATAAGCAACATAGCGAGGAACCACAAACCTGCCATGTTAGTGGAACAGTCGAGTTTGAGGGAGAGCTAACATCGAGAGTCACCTCGACTCGAAGAGCCCGGTCCCCGGTCTGCTCCAATGTCGTCGCCGGTCATAGCCGAGACGGGTGAGGAGCTTGGGATAGTCGTGTCAGCAGTAGGCCTAAGAATAGAGTTACCTTATGGGCATCTGGCGAGATGCCGATAGAGAGCATGTCGCTAACGCTTTTGAGCCACCCTCGATGGCTTCCGGTCGATGCACTGTTACCATTATCATTTTAGAGGGAGCTGTCAGACGATAGAGGCAAAGTCGATGTATCCCTAAATAAACTTAGTTAGTTCCTAACCTAACAGAGGGCCTTCTCCTCCTTAAGGACTCAAGTGAGAGGTGGAAGAAATGGAGGAGGTGGTTGTGCGTGGGGGGAGGGGGGCTTTATTGTCTTATAGGGCTTGGAAGCCCGTGGGGGCGACCACTTTTACTTGCTTCTAGGGCTCGAAAGAGCCCTCCACGGGATGTGGTTGGGCTTGAGACAATGAGACAGACAGTGTCGTTATTTATCGGAGTAAATGACCATGGGTAGCCTCATCTGCTCTCCGTGGCAACATCGGGGCCGGCTGCGCCCCTCGAACTCCAAGGACGGAGCACTGCCTTTCCTGGGCCGGCTGGTAGCACCGGCCGGCTGACCAGAGGGCGGCGCCCTTCAGAAGAAAGCCATGAGATGCGCCGACTCCTGGCAGGCAGCCTCCAGAGAGGTCGGCCTCTAGCAGGCGGCCCATCATGCCCTCGAAGTTTGCACCACATTAAGGTGACGAGACGGGTGTGGCTAGCCACCCCCGAATCCAGGGCAGGGCGTGGCCATAGTGCACCGTACCAGACGGAAGCCCCCATCCGACGCGTCACTGTTGCCACACAGCCCGTGACATCACACCTGGCAGAGAAGACCACGCCTCCACTACGGGCTGTCTGTACGGCTCGCCAATGACGGGCCCTATCTGTCCGTGAGAAGCCAGAAGGCGGCATGCATCGACCAGTCGGTGCAAGGGGAGGCCGACTCCGAGCAGGCGGCCCTCCCTCCCTTAGAGTTTGTGCGCCATTAAACCAGAAGAGATGGGGGTGGTTACAGTGAACGCCCGCCAGGCGGCGGCACTGTAGCCACACCTTCCCCGACAAAGCACACATCATCAGTGGCATCACCACAGTATTAAGCTACCGGCAGGGCCCGCAAGCGGCGGGCGCGGCCTGTCGACAAAGTACAAGACAGCTGGCGGGACCCACCAGACGACTGTCGGTGTTCTGGGAACGGGGGTCCCCAGACTTGCCTGCCTGCAGCCTGCGGCGTGGCTCAAAAGGGGCCCAGCGCGGCCCATCTTCATCAACACAGACCCAAGACCCTCGCGAGGGGCCAAGCCTCGTGGGGCGGACGACACGGAGCTTCCTCAGGCACGGCCTCATCAGGCTGGCTCGCGAGGAGGCAGAGAGATCAAGGCGGGGTACCTCACGAGGTGCCCGTGACGCAAGCCATGACGACCAAAGGCGCTAGGCGGGCGCCAGCTACGCAGTGTCCTCCTTTCCTCTTTGGTGCAAAGGGAGCAAGCGCAGGCGAGAGCATCAAGCAAAGGTACCCGTTTCGGTGCAACGAGACCAAGACCAGTCCAACGGCAGGGAGGAAGTCATTGTGGAGCCCAAGCCAGCGTCACCACCAAAGCCTTTGGCAGGCGAGGACCAACTTTAATCAGGATAAGTGTACCAGATGTTCCCCTTCAAAATGGCCAATTGTTGGCGCCCTTCCCGCTTAATATTTGGGAAGAGGCCCAGGGCCTTTGCCTATAAATAGGACTAGCCACCCCTAGGGTAGAGGGGCAATCAAGAAGGGAGAATCTAGAAGCCAAGAGAGAAACTAGCTAGGATCGGATCGAGTAGCATCACAAACACAGAGAGAGAGAGAGAAGGGCGACTGAACTCCTCCTAGCAGTTCATCCCCCAGCCAAGAACAGACCCTCGCGAGGCTGTTCTTCCTTGTATTGCTCATCATCATCAGCCCAAGAGGCAATCCACCACACCACACACTGGAGTAGTGTATTACACCACAACGGTGGCCCGAACCAGTATAAACCATGTGTCTCTTGTGCTGTTCTTTTCGTAGCTTAGATCTTAGCGAGGCGGAGGGGTGCAGGTAGGTAGAAGGCGAAATCTCCGCGCGCATCCCAGTGTTCGAACCACAAGGGTCGACCGGAACCCGAAATCCGACACCTGGCGCGCCAGGTAGGGGTGCGCCAGAATTCGTCTTCCACCATCCCGTTCTCCTCCGACCATCGCGTCCATGTCTGACGCTCGTCGGGCCCGCGCCGAGCGCCGGGCCGCTCTCGCTTCCCGCGTCACCCAGACGGCTCCTGTCGGCGTGCGTCCTCGCCGTTCCCCGTCACCTGCCGTCAACGCCGCCACCGGCCCGGCGGGGAATGAGCAGCAAGCGTCGTCTCAGCATCCATCCGTGCGACAAGACGGCCGCACCGCTACTCCCTCGCTCACCCCAGCTGGTTCTTCGTCCCGCGCGCTCCGCGCACCCATGGAGGCTCGAGTCGCGCTCATCGCGGCAAATGAGCTCCTGCGCTACCGTCCGGTAGACGACGTCTACGAAGAATGGCTCGACCGCGTCGCCGAGCTCGTCCGCGCTGCAGGGGGCTCTCCTGCGCCGTCCGTTCCGCTGCGCCGCACCCCGCCCCGCGCGGGCGACGAAGCTCCGGGGGCGCCCCAGCCGCCTCCTCCTCAAGAAGGCGCCATGGCTCCAAGGCGCGTGGCCCCTGGGCGGAACCCGCTCCGTCAGGTGCCAGCGCGGCAAGAGCAGAGCTACCAAGAAGTCCCTCGCCCGCAAGAAGCTGCCTGGGCGCTCCCTTCTCTAGCACGTCGCGACCATGCTCCTGCTCCCGCACGTCAAGACCCCGCGCTGCTCCCAGCTGCAGCGCGTGGGGACATGCAAGACCAAGCTCTCCGTCACCCAAGGCCTCCCATGGCCACAGCAGGCTGTCGTGCCTTCACCACCGAGCTACGCAGCGTCGCGTGGCCCGGCAAGTTCAAGCCAGACCTGCCTCCTCGTTACGACGGCACGGCCGACCCTGCGGAGTTCCTCCAGCTCTATGAGCTGGGCATTGAAGCTGCCAACGGAGACGAGAAGGTCATGGCGAACTGGTTTCCCATGGCGCTCAAGGACGGGGCCCGCACCTGGCTCCTGAACCTGGCTCCAGGCACGATCTCCTCCTGGGACGAGATGCGCACCCGCTTCATCGCCAACTTCCAAGGTACTCGCGACCGGCCACCCGCTGTGAGCGACATGCGCCGCATCAAGTAACAA